GGATTCTCGATGCGCTCACCTAACATAACTATTCAAACTTTCAGATTACCTCCGACTGTGCGACTGAAGTTTAATTACATTTTATTTAGTCAAAGGCGAATAACGTCGACGTGGTACCTTTTTATTTTTCAGTGAACCGTAAAGCATTGATATAAAAATTGCGTTTTTAATACATACTACAAGTTGCAAAACGATTTCCTGTGCTACTCTCTCAATATATGTGCTCAGTTCGAGTTTTTTAACTTCTAGATCGCGTAAAAGCTAACTCACATTTGTATAGCTTTTACGCGATCTAGAAGTTAAAAAGCTTGCACTAAGCAGATTGGTTAATAAAACAGTCCAATTTCGTTTTGTAGACAAAGCGAGCGCACGAAACGACACACGGATCATTTTAAATAACACATTTAATATAATGACATCTGATTTTCGATTACGTAACATTAATTTTATTTATAGGCTTCAATTATTGCTTCAGCGTTTTCGTTAAGAGGTATCCTTACTATCACTAGATACATATATGAAAAAAAAAACGTTCAAAAATGTATGTTATCGGTGATAAACTATATGTGTATATAATATATTTTGTGTATACATTTATTTTATATCTATTGGAGTTTCCGTTTACGTTTACTTGGTGAATACGAAAATTATATTATGTTTGTTATTTGTGGATTAAAATCAGTCGGTGCAATTTATTCTGCTCTGTTAAATACAGTATCTTCTTTAATACAAATACCAGATCTTACTTTTTTAAATCTACTAATCTCAAACTACATAATACAAATATGAATTATGGACTATTTTACAACGATAACAGTATCAAAAAACTATTAAATATATATTCTTTTCATTTACTTTCAACTAGCTATTTATTTTGAAACTTAGTTAAGTAATCAGAAAAAGTATTCAGAAGTGCTATAAGTAGGTGTCGTCACTACGGTTCGAAGAGTCTAGTTAATCATGGCATCGCTTTAATGACTACGCCAGTAAGATCGCTTGCTGTCGCCATTCACAATTAGAACTTATAAGTCTAAATCATTAAAAAATATAATGTTATTTGCCTGTAAGTCAATCGTTGTTTTTTTTAAATAATATATTCAATTTTATTTATTGCAACAATCTTCATTTTATTTAATACTGAATTTTTTTATTCGTTTATATAATAAGTAACGAAAGTGAATTTAATTTTTACTGTGAACAGTAAATATATATGTATGTGTTTTAAGTATCCTAAATTATTATTTTTATTACTCAAGTAAGCGTTAAGTAATTTTTCCCTTTTAAATTTTCAAGCTTTCTTTTCCTTTTTAGTGGCATTGTAAATTCGTTTTAAGTAAAAGCCAATCGCGTTACGCACTTTATTTTAAATACACAAAGTTCAGGGATTGATGTGTGCTTCTGGATCGCCTCTCACAGGTCGTAACTGGGTACGCGCGTACCACTCTTTACAGTCGTGATTCAGTCACATTGCGTAGCCTGTTAATTGAGACTGAATAGCCTCTTAAAGGGATTCACAGTTTTGTCCATTTATCTGAGTAGTCGAATGTCTAACGAATGTCTGTAAGGCCCTTTATGTTTCAATGTCCATGTATTTCAATTTCGTACATAAACGTGACCACCTCGACTATTATGACGAAGGGAAAGGCCGTGCAGGATTTTAGAGAAAAAAAAATCACGTCAAGGGTTGAAAGGCTATTTGGTTTAAGCGACAGTTCGCTAAATACGCTACACTTATCTTTGTAATTAAAGATGCGTTTTATTTGGCATTAGCATCAACAGTTCGATGTTTTTAATTGAACTTCAATTAACTTTACTCTATTGAAATAACTCAAGTTTTTTTGTGATATTTTTTCCGAATTTTTTACTTGATATGGCTCTCATGTAAAGTCGCAAAAATGACGCTTAAGCCTTTCACCCATCGATGTATTATCTGGATTTATCGTTTTCTACATGGTTTCGTGTGCCGATAACTTCAGAGGGAGCAAATCAGCATGGTCACCATAAGCGTGAAACCATCAGCGTACAAAGGTAGCGTAGCGGACAGTCATTTCAACAAATGATTATTTTACATGTTTTACCCATAACCAAAACGGATGTTAAGCAGAATTAGATATATATTTCGGTTTTCCAGAATTGTATACATGTATTATATAAATTTTATTATTGTTTTTAGATAATTTATTTGTTTGTTAGTCAACTAGACTCTAGGAAATAATTTATCTAATTCTACATTGATACATTTTTTTATGTATAGAAACACAACGAGGGACTATATTTAAATTGAATCGTGGAAATTACTGAAATATTAGATGTAAAATAAAAATTGAAGCATTTAATAGATATGAATACATACATTAGTTCATAAAAAAAATTGGCATGATTTAATCGTTGTACTTACAATTTATACACAAGTTTATTGTATTCATTTTACAGTTTTTCGAATACTTAAAAAACAGTAAACTATTCCGAATGACGTATATTTTGTAAAATGAATAATTAAAACTACATTAAAGTGTAAAATCGATGCCTCCAATGAACACTACTCTAACTCCAAATTCGTAGGTCTACAGGAGCGTTTAAATGAAAAAAGTTGATAAAATCTTTATTACTGCAGATATATTTATGGTTTTTTCTTGTGTAACTAGCTGATTTACTCTTGCTTCGAACCCCATCAATAATTAATTTGTAATACTTTTAAAATAGTGAAGCGATTTGTGTGAAAAACGAAAATTTCAAAATTTTGAGTTATAGTGTTCATTGGAGGTATCGAAATGAGTTTCAATCGAATACATAATTCGCGAGATCCTAAAAATATACATTTCGTATCCGGAAACATGACATTGTTCTGGATTGGTTTCTTAAATATAATTATTTAGTCAATAACAGCATTAGACATTACTGCTGCAGCAGTCTGCTGGATCGCGTTCTTTTACGATAGGAAAGTTGAAACACGTGCGTTCACGCACACGTGTATAAAAACATATTAAGTTTTGTTTTTAAAAATGCGTAACAGTTTCTTTTTTAGATTTTTGCCATTTCTTTAATACTTTTAAGGTACATAATTAACCAAATTATTTTCTTTGTACATCAGTCAATTTAATGTAGGTGATGGTTTAGTAATCTTCTAGTCCCTGATAAGCAAATAAAAATTTCAATATTTTAATGTACTATGGTAATCAAGATCTTTACTCATTGAATTAAAGTTACAAGCATGTATAAGTTAACAATATAAGATCCAGATATTAGACGTCATGCTATAACTTGTACATATAATCTTTAAATTTGACATTCTTTAAACTAAGCCTATTGCAGTATTTTTTTAGCTTGTAAAGAATTCGAATAAATTAGCTTATTATATTGAAAAACTAGCTGACCCGGCAGACTTCGTAGTGCCTCAATCGATAAATAAAAGAGCTAAACTTTTGTATAAAATAAATTTAAAACAAATAAAAGGAAACCGTCCGACGAGGGACACATCAAAGGGAAAACAAAGTTGTTATTTTTATTTAATTCTGAGCACTTTCATATTTATCTACCTTTTAAACCTTCTCTGGACTTTCACGAATAATTCAAGACCAAAATTAGCCAAATCGGTCCACCCGTTCTCGAGTTTTAGCGAGACTAACGAACAGCAATTGATTTTTATATATATAAATAGATAAAAGCTCATTGTTTATATATAATAGGTATATTATTTTATTATACTGTAATTTTTTTATTGCTTAGATGGATGGACGAGCTCACAGACCACATAGTTATTAAGTGGTTACTGGAGCCCATAGACATCTACAAGTTTAATGCGCCACCCACCTTGAGATATAAGTTCTAAGGTCTCAAGTATAGTTGAGAGTATAGTCTCTCAAGGAAACCGCTCCGAAAACAAAGACAGATGTTAGTACTAATGACACCTTTAATGATGAGACGGAAAAAAATCCATCCTGATTGAAAAATATATTTTTAAAACGTTTTATTAGCATTATTTACGCTCCATCATGTTAGTTCAGCTAAATGAAACGATTGTTTGATGAAAAAAAAACCCAGTAATGAAACACAAAATCAAAAAGAGCTGATGGTCGGAGCAACGACCGCACGGGCGCGGCGCTGCGCACGCGCTCGATCGCACAAATATGTACTTATTTAAAACATTTGTCTAAATACCTAACTTTATCATCAAAGGTGTCATTAGTACTATCGTCTGTCTTCGTTTTCGGAAGCGGTGTCCTAACACCCAGTATAGCCGAATTATCAAAATCGATGTGTGAGATGCATCTGTTTGTTAATATTGTTTCCTTTTCCCCTACTTATAGATGATATAATCGTTGTCAGATCTACAAGTGCCAATCTCTTTTTGTTGTTAATATTATGGCTTATGAAAGAAGCCTTCATACAACTTACGTTAATAAGATTGGTTAATTCTAATATTGTTCGTAGATTATTAGAATTCCGTAGTATGATTTGTAATATCGTTGACATTTCAGGGTTTATAGGTACCATAATATCAATGCATGAGTATTTTCTATGAACGGGTAATAGACATTTAATAAAAGTAAATTACCATTTTGAAAATATTTTACATCCCATTTGCTGGTTGCAAATTATTACTTTTTATAAAACAACACGGTGTTGTTGTTTACTCTTCTGAAGCAGGATCGGTAAATGACTAGGAGATTTAGACTCAAAGTGAAAGTTGCGATAGCGAGTAGGTTCTACCCTTATCTAATGGGTAGCAGAGCTAGGTTCCCGCAATCAGGCGCAGGCGAATCTAATGTCTTGTTGTGGGAGGACTTGGAATTGAATTTGATGTAAGCCCATCAAAATACATCAATTTCATTGTATGATTGCAACCCCATTCGTCTTCAATCAATCGATAGTAAAGCTTCTGTTATTTTAACCAAAAAAACAACAGTTTGATACCACACGTAGTGACGTTTCGATATAAATATTTCAACGTCGTGTTCTTAAGTTTTTATTTTATGTACGTTTAGATATATTATTCGATTTGTTCAGTGCTAGTATTATTTCAACATGTTTATATCTCGTTGAATCCCATGCAACTCTGAACTCTTATTATTGAATTACAGATACATCTCAACACACGATCGATCACCTACATAGGTACCTTTTCTCGCAAACTGGATAATAAAATATAATTGTAAATACAAAACGTTCATAAATTATAATTTTCTGTGGAAAGTTTTGTTTTTATTTCAACAGGTTCGAAACGAATAAAAACTTGAGGCCATTAATCATTGTATATTAGATTGATCAATTAATATGTGATATGGATCATATTGGCGTTAAACATTCATTCTAGTAATATATAATAGTACATTACAACTGGAACTACATATATTGTTCCTTAAAAGTATTATAATATTATTTCTATAAGCTTATCAGGGACATTTTTCGTTAAAACATGTGAAATACAATAATTTTAAAGTTCAAATAAGAATAAATTTATTTTTAACGCTAATAAATATTCTGGTATACATTATCTTGTAATGATGGAGACAATTTTCCTTACATCCACGGGTAATTAACGCATCTTACTATATTCTATTTCTTTTTTATGCTATATTCTAAAAATGGTGAGATAATCAGAGTTGTCGTTATTAAATATCGTGAGTCGATTGAGCAATAACATCGTGGTGAAGACTAAACGACGTTATGAAACAGGAATATTATCGCAGAGCAGTGATATATTCACATTATTCGCATAGCATAACGTTCGCAGTCGGTTAATCATCACAAAGCTCAGAAAAAAGCGAAGCTCTTATGAACTATATTGGCAATATTTTACTATGACTAATTACATAAATAGATAATACAAAAAGGGAATGAATATAATCGTACTAACAATTATTGTACAATTGGGAATATGACCACTGGATTATGATCACTGGATTTGAGAGCACAGTTGCATTACTGACAAAGGTTCAACCAAATTGTTACATGAATCAATCATGGTAATTGTTTTTCATCAGAATAATTTGTTTTGCTAAAAAATTGTCACTGTTTCATAAATAATACGAAAAACAAAAGATATTTGAGTTTTTAATTTGAAAATTTAAATTAGTACATTCTTATATCAGCAATGAAGATAGTTGGCATTTATCTAAATACCTTCATCTGCTGTAATGCCATAGATGATTTTAACTTCAAATGAAATGGAGGAAGGGGGTTTGCCACTAGATCTCCTCATATTGTTCATAAAGAAGGAATTAATACAGAAATACTCAAAAATCTAGGATGTTCAAAACAGGTTTTGTCAATATACAAAATACAAAATGAGAATATTTTTTATTCTTATTTGATTGTATGTCTTCAGGCCAAAAGTGATTATAAATTACAGTTTACAAGATGTCTCTATATAGATTGATTCATGTAACGTAATTGTCTAAGTCTGTTTTACGAAAAAGTTGACAGGCACTCAAAAAAATATTTTCAATAGAAAAATAAAGTCTTCTAAAGTATAAAGCAAATAATTATACCAATCTAATTGTTTCAGAAATACTATAATAATTAAGTACTTTAATCACAATGTCAAGAATGATATAAATATATCAATAATTTAATGAGTTTGACCACCGATGTGAATCACCAAACAAAGTAGTCAAACTCTGTCAACATACAATTAGAATGTTTTAATGCATTAGATTTAATATTCAAAATCATGAATATACATACAATATTCATAAAAATACAGAAATTCTCTAACTAGATATTTATTTATAAATATTGTATTTCAATATTTCTCATATTGGTGGCACTATAAGGCTACTCCTTTTAATCTAAATTTTTCTTGAACATATATTGTTTGTAAAAATAAAGATCATACAATGGACAAGAAAAAAGGACAAGGTGCATAATCGTTGATGATCATAAGACAATTACTAATTTAAAATAATAGAGATAAAAATAATAGAGAACAGAAGAAATCTTTTTATCACCTCAAGTCTTCTTAATTAACGAACTCACATTCATCTCAAATATTACATAATAAATTAATAATGACTTTGATTCGTTGTTTAGGCTAAGAGACGGTAGTGTTCGTTTTAATATAAAGCATCAAATTCAAATAGGCCAAGTCAGTCAAGTATAGAAAAAAACATGAATAAAAATATATAATCAGCATGATATAAAAAGTTGCATTTAAAAAGTCTCATTAAATACTATGTCTAATACTATGGCAGTTTGATTTAGAAAAATATACAGATGCCTAATTTAATTCAGTATGACCACTGTTGGAGTACAGAGTCCTGCGAGATCAGTCCATGTATCTGCCATTCAAGTCTATTTATCCTGTTTATATCACTGTGCACTTTCTATACAAGAAATCCGTAAGGACCGCTGCCCCGGATCTGAGCCCGCATGCTCTGCACACTATTCATAATCTTCTTCTGATGACCGACAAGAGTCACGCCGAGAGATGCCAGCTGATGCACAGTCAAGTCGACCACCGCATCCATGTCGGAAATGCCCGCCGCTCGAAACTTCTCGATGTACCGTGACATTTTTATGCATTCAAGCCATTCTTCCACTGATGTAAACTGAATCAAGTCTGGAGTATCGCCTGCTAAAGGGTCTGCTGAACGGTTTTGGGCAATCTTTCTCAATGTATCTGGGCAACGAATTAATTTATCTAGTGTCTTCACAATGCTTGAAAAAGTTGGTCTGTGTGTTCGTTCTTTCTGCCAGCAATCAAGCATCAGCTGATACACAGCCTCAGGACAGTCCATAGGAGCTGGTAGACGATATCCTTTTTCAATTGATTTAATCACATCTTGGTTGCTCCAGTTCCAATAAGGTCGTTCCCCAAAACTCATTACCTCCCAGCACACTATTCCCATAGACCAGACATCACTGGCAGAAGTAAATTTCCTAAATGCTATTGCTTCTGGTGCTGTCCATCGCACTGGAATCTTTCCACCACGGGTTGTATAGGCTCCATCAGCAGTAGATTCAATTTCACGAGAGAGACCAAAGTCAGCTATCTTACAAACAAGTTGAGAATTGACAAGTACATTTCGTGCAGCTAGGTCACGATGGATGTAGTTCATCTCTGAAAGATATTGCATTCCAGTGGCGATACCACGTAACATACCAACCAATTGCAGCACTCTAAATTTTCCATCATTCGCCCGTAAGAAAGTGTCCAAAGATCCATTTTCCATGAACTCAGTAATAATCATGATTGGATTGCATTTTGTGACGACTCCCTGTAAGAATATCACATTTGGATGTTCAAATTGGCCCATTATAGACGCTTCAGCCAGGAAATCACGTCGAGCTCGTTCAGTGGAGCCTGGTTTTAATGTCTTGATGGCAACATCAATTTCTGGGCCACAACTAGCTGGAAGTTTCAATTTGCCACGACAAACATCTCCAAATTCACCACCACCTATTATTGCTTCAATAGTAATACATGATGCATCAATCTCACGTGCAAATTCTCTGACAGCTTGATTGGGGTCTTCATATGTATGAGGGTCTATGTAAGTCCTGGAACCAGTGCCAGCAAAAAGAGGAGTGGTAGCATTGCTGCTTGTCTTAGCAGGACGATCAGGTCCTGTGTAAACTTCTCCATTTCTATAATTAAGAGCATTACAATCACTAGGTTGTTTTTTATCACATTCATCATCAGCACGAGATCTCAAAAATAAAACAGTAGCAATGATGGCAATCACTGTGAGGACAACTACTGCCACCATAACACCAGCAACTAATCTAACTTGAGCTCCTTCTTCGTCAATGAATGAAGTTTCAGTAACAGAATTGGTTCGAGCATATACAATTCCACTGAATTCTCCCCATCCTCTCTTCATCTTGGCTCTGACCCTAATGCCATATTCAGTGTCTTTTCTTAATCCTGTAATGGTGACCTGTGGGTCCTTAGTAATCCTCAGGGTGGTGTTGGTATTTTTGTCTTGACTGTCTTTTGGAAAGCATTTCACTTCATAGCTCTCTATAGTGTCATCAGGATCAGTTAAGTCTACTTGTGGTGGATTCCAAGCAATTGTTAACCTATCACTTTCTGTGTTCAAAATCCTCAATTTTGACACTACACTCACTACAGAGGCTTCGGTTACTGCTGTGATTTCTATGTGTTTTGCAGGATCAGGAGAGAGTTCAGACACTCCATTTTCTGCATAAACTTGAAACTTGTATTCAGTTACTGGATCTAGACCACTAATTGTAACTCGTGTACTATTAAGGCCAGTCTCTCCTGGTCTAAATTCCACAGTGGGGCCGCAATTGGCACATGAAATCTTATATGTAATATCATTTCTTCCACCAGTATTATGTGGCGGTTGCCAAGTAAGAGAAATAGAAAACTGATCAGCAAATGTTACAGTCAAATTATCAGGTGCTGAAGGTGGTTGAGTACAGGGTATGGTTTTTGGGTCTTTCTTGGCTCTATAGTATTTTGGAGTACATTTACATTCAGCAGCAGCATATATGGTTGACTCAGAATGATCAGGGCACGGGATGCAGTGTTCGTCACCAGTGTGAGATTTAAATTTTCCAGGTGCACATTCTGTACAAATTTGATTGTTGTGGTCAGGTTCAAAGCCTGCCCTGCATTTGCAAGAGCCACTGGGAAGGGTCCATTTGCCATCACCCTTGCATAAATAAACAGGGGCTTTTTCACCAGGAGCAACCTCAGCATTAGCAACACAAGTTCCATTGGCTTGTTCAATAACCGTAACTTCCCTACCAGTGGGAGTGGCAGGGAATCTTGCAAAGTTAATGTTGACATCAGGACATGTGATGTAATAGACTTTCACTGCCAAAATAGATATGCAGGCTCCTTGATCTCTAAATGCAAAATACACACCTTTCTTTGTGACTGCAATACTCTTCACTTCAGTGTTGATGTCCACTTCAGAGTTAGTGTTAAATCTGCCTTCCCCTGCGGCGATGCGGCCAACTAACTTGTAACTCTCGGGCTCCCAGGGAGGTTGTTCTCTAGTGGCAACATCAAATTCATAATACAAGAGACTGAATGTTTCTTTACAACTCAATGCATTTCCTGGGAAAAGTGAGCAATCACGAATAGTAAACTTGATTTCTATGTAGATTCTATTGGCATTTCTGCGTTCGATGAACGGGGTCCAGAGCCAGTTATTCACATTATGGTGGGCGACGTCACAGACCACATAGGAGCGCCAGTTTATTTGTTTTTCAAAGTTAGTGTAAGATTCTTCGAGCCAGCCGGCAGTGCTAGCCTGCGCACCATACGAGAACCGGGTCCAGCCTAGAGTATCTTCTGCTGTAGTGTCGAGAAGCAGCACTTGTTCGCCATGCACGCTAGCCAAGGCCGTCACTACTATCAGCCAAATCATGTCAACGGCATCACACGATCATTCAAGAAAAATAAAGACCTGTTTCCTAAACCTTCCTACATATTGAAAGGACTATTCACTTTACATCACTTCACATAAAGGGCCGACCACTTCTGCAATGTTATGAGTGGCCCACTACTACACTCGGATGAGTGACGATGCCGAGGACTTTTTTCAGAGAACGTGTTTACTGGCTGAAATTCAGACTGAGATTGAACACAAATAACAATATACCGCGCGACGATTCAGCATCTGTATTTTTCTATTGATCTCGTAAAACAGGCTAAATTCACTTGATATGGACGCGCAGCAGTTTTCTGTGTTGCCATATGCGAATTTGAAATAGTGAAACGAGTTAGAAAGAGATGATAGATTCATAGATAATACATTTTTTTAAGGGATTTTATGACCTGGTAACTGAGACTTTTAAGTCATGTCTTATTTTAATTTATATACATGTGAAATGAAATGAAGATGATTAATTTGAGAACTGAGATGAAATTAAATGAAAGGATATGGGATGAAATATAATCACAGTAAAATAGTGGTCATTTACTAAGATTTTTTCAGTGGACTTTTTCAAGGATCCCGATAAGTTACGTCCAGCGGCTTTGTTTCATTTTCCCACATTTGTGTACTTTCACAGATAGTAAACAGTTAATAAACCACCATTATTACACATTTAAACCCGAAGAAACACTAAATAGACAAAATAAAACAAATCACACAACTTCACTGCTCGCGTTCCCGCCAAAAAGTCTCATAGAATACAGTTAATGTTTAATAGATAGAGATAGACTATAATCCTCTAAATATCCAACATGAACAGGGAAGATTATGCGCTTACTGCAGTGCTGCCATAAATTTAAGGTCACTCTGGATGGAAAAAATATATAAAAGCCATTAGACCGCTGACGATACTAGGAAGGATTCTTCCATATAGCGACTTTTAAGCTCCTCGATGGACACTCATAACTACGATTACAAACCAAAAGTGTAATAAATATTCGCCGTCGAAGTTGGTCTTTCTTTTCGTAGAACTGCAAAAGTCAGACAATTCATGGAAGGAGCAGTGACGTACCCTCGTCGCACAAAAAGTTATATTATGCTCGGCAGAAACTAGACCTGGAAGGTTATAGTCGACTTGCGAGAGAGAGAGCCCTTCCCTCTCAACATCAATCCGCAGGCCTCTTTAGACGATGCGACGGCCCCCTGGATAAGAGAGCTTGAGGCGACCAGAGAGATTGTGACCGCACGGCTCGCTACCAGTATTCCAGCCCTGCGGAGTGATCGATACCGAAGAGCAACTGGTTGGCAGTGTATCGCGATCCAACCCAGCATACTGATTCTGATCCGGAGCAGTATAAAGGAATAGCATGGCACTGGCTGAACGGCCTGACAGAGTACCAGCCAAGATCACTGACACAAAGTTAGTTTTGCAGACGACTCTACGTGTCAAGCGTACATGGGTTTGGCCACGTGTCTGGTTGTAGAGTTGATTGCGGTCACCTCTTCTATTTCTCATATTATGTTTTGTTCCGGACGCGGCTCAAACATCCGGGAGGGTCCAGGAAAGCTGTGTAGGGGTGGCTTTCGCAGTTCCACGCCTAAACTCACCGTTCACGTGTTCATAGCTCACGTGCACCTCGACACTCGGGGTTTGGAACTCATGAAGAGGATTCGCAACCGGCTCAAAGAAAATACCCCAATTCGTAATCTGAGACTTGCATCTGCGAACTGTTAACATTGGTATTCCAGACCTTTTAAAAATATCGAAAACAGAATTTGTAATCTGAGATTTTGTTTTGATCTGAGTTTTGATCTGAGAATTTTTGTAAACCAACTTGTTGGATTGTGAATAGTAAGATAATGCAGTGAAATTAATAGTGAAAAGCTTTCTGTTCAGCTTATTCAGCCCATAGTAAAGTATGAACACTAAACGTGTGTCAATTTAGATTTTCTTATAGTTTAATCTTTCAATAATGGTGTTCTGTTGACCATTTAGTGTCTATAAATGTGGATAAGTGTGGGATTATAAAACTGAAAGGCTTTTTATGTAAGCTCGGCCCAGACAATTTTGATATTCTTAAAACTTAGTTGCCATATTGAAATACAAACGAAGAGCAACGCATATTGATAATGTTAAAGTTTAAAAACTTAATCGATATGCGTTAGTCAGAAAATATTTTAGCTTGAAATTTTGAGCCTATTTTTCAATTCAATCAACGTTAATTAAAAACATCAAGAATTACAATTTTATACTTATATAAATTCAATTTTAATAAAACGGCTACAGTCACGTCTAATGCGGCCGATAAGAAGAAAAGTATAATACATGTCTAAATTATTGAATATTTAGAAAGATAGGATTATCTAATCGTTTCAGGTTACTAACAGAGACTGTTTTGAGGCAGCATAGGTTGATGTCACAGTTTTTAAATTTTGTTGCCCCTGACCGTTTACAGCCGAACTTTTATCAACAGGGAAAATGGTAGACAAGCACACGGCCTACCTACTTAATACTGTTCCGTCATAGTTGTTAACTAAACTTCAGTATGTATATGTTACGGTAAAAGTAGATATTGCGGCAAATGTACATATTTTCCAGTAAATGTGCACATTTGCCTCCTCATTTGGGTAATGTGCATTCAACTAACATTTACAATTTCAAAGGGAAATGTACTTTTTGACACATCGACAGCTAAATGTCTAAAATGAAAATAATAATTATTCAATTATTGTACGGTACCTACAACTTTTCTGAAATTTAAAAATCTATTATATGTAGGTAGAGCAAGGCGGAGTATCTAGTTAAATAAAAAAATGAAAACATTCACGTATTTTTTATTAACATTATAAACAATTATTGGTTGGCTGTCCAAGCTAATAACATGTCATTTTACAACTGCCTACAGTGAACACTTCTGACCAATGTGTTACACTTTTTGTAAGTTTGTCAGGCGATAATATTTAGAAACATAATTTTAAGCATACATTTTAATTTGCAACATAAGGAACTTGAAAACAGAAATAATTAAATTCTTAAAAATTATGTATTATTCGTATACCCAGCAAAACTGCATGGTCAAATCCAAAGTAAAATCAAGGGAAACCGCGCCATCGGTGTGTTCGATGGCGTAGGTATTAGCGGCATTTACTTATTAAATGGCACTGGCAGCCTTATAAGAAAAAAAGATTTTATCTTCATGTTTTTTTACTTTGTTATGTATTTCACTGCCCATGCCGTGCAGTGCACGGTGCAGTTAAAACTGTAGGGTTGGCAACAGTTTTTCGGAAACGATCTACAGTCTACAGTTACATCTACAGATTTTCGGAAATTCTCTCAGTTTTCAGTTTAGACCTCGAAATCCACTTTTTTAGTAAGATGTTAGCTTCATTTATTTTATTACAAAACGAAACTAAGAAATTAACTTTCTACCCGCACAATTAAAGATACCTTGTACACAAAGTCAGAAATTAAAAATTGTTATTTCGAGTTCCACGTGACAAAATATGACCGTTTCAAAAAAATCAATAAAAATATGGACGATTTCAACAAAAGTAAAGATGAAATGGAAAATCAAGAAGACTTACAAATTGAAAATAAAATATTCGCTAGTAATAATAACTAACATCCAGGCACTGAAATAGTTGCAACTTTGAGACTTGATTTTGACATTTAATTAGATTAAAATTTTGTTAATTACCTACACGATTTTTCTTGTTTTTAATGCCCTCCTTATAATGTAAGAATTTATTACTATTATTAAATTATACAAAATATAATATAAAGATAAAGATGTAGATTTACTGTTTTTAATTTGATATTTATAGTTTTCTATACTTTTTAAAGCATATCTACAGTTTTGCTTTATGCTAGGGTTGGCAACTAAATAGGTTTATTTTATCCAATGTCCAATGTCCAATTGTCCACTGCTTGAGCGAGATGCCGCGAGATGCTACCGTGAAGTGCGTAACATTTTCGTACTTGTCCCAGAGACGGAGAATATTATTATTCACACTAATCGTTTCTTGTCCCTCAAAATTTCCAACGGTAAATTCTTTACAGAGACCAATATTGCAAAGCGTCAACTTTAATTTCCAATCGTTAATATTGAAATTTAGCAGTAAATTTACAAAAACACAAACTGAATTTAGTCCCCGACGATTTGAACTCGTGATATACATTTCTGTAGACGCTTTCAGAGACCTTGATGGCATTGATCTTGGTGTGAAATCATTAATTTATATCTAGAGAAGGAAAAAACATGTCGCAATTTTCTAGAGAAACTGGAGTTCATGTTAGTTTTTTTTGTTTGCATTCATCCTACCAACGTTTTTATAAATAATATATTTATTTTACATTATTTTTGTGTTTCTTTATATTATTACAGAGAAAAACAGTTATATTCTTGGTATGACGATATCAAGACGAAGAACCTTTGCTGCATCTTCAAAGGTCCTGTAGACCACGACTCATATATATGCCACAAAATGCCCAAAATATGTTTCGAATATGAAGAAAGTGGATTTAAACCGAATAATGACTGTGCCAGCATAATCAACACAATTCAATATAATTTAACTGCATTGTAGATGTATTTGTTTGTTTATCTTTCAAGTCGAAACAAAATGGATTGACATGATATTTTGTAGTGATAGTTTTAGGTCAGGTGTGTGACATGCGCTACGTTTTATGCTTTAAGAAAATAATCACATTACCAAGGGAAAGTTTTATTATCTTAAGAAAAATTTACACTTTTCCTTCACAAGCAAGTAACAGTTGTGTAATAAAAATTAAACCTACAAATTTACACAATTACTGATGGAATTGGTATAATCTAGGCCTGCATGGGTAAGTGCCATCCTGTTTTTCAACCATGAAGCACTTTTATGCTCTGATGTGAAAAGCAGGCCATTAAATAAATTGATTGAGACCTATATATGAGATTTATACATAAATTAAATTGAGTATTTCACCTCAAGTCTCATGGTGTGTGATGGTAGGAATGATTTCCATTAGTTCTGACAGTTACTTAATTAACAACCTAATTTACGAATTACTAAAATATAATAATTTTAAATGAAAAAGAAGAAAATACAGTGAACACACTTCATCTTACATATCTAAATGTATTCATTTTTCATTGCTTAATATAGGTGCTTTGTTTTTAAAGGTATGTTCTAATGAATGTATATTTTCTTTGTAAAACTTAATATAGTCTCAGCAGCTGCTAGAAAATATCCAGTCATCACTCTCATTCTAAAAATTTTGATTAAAATGGGGATGATTGACTGGATTTAATTTTTTTGCTGCTGTTTAAATGTCTAGTTTATCCTTCAACACTAAACCTATAATAACAAAATTTAAACTAACTTAAGTTTATTTTGACTAATGGCTATACTTAATAGATCTATATTTGCGAACACATGATCCTTAGCTGGTGGTATCTTGGTTTCATTATTTGATATCAGTAATGCATGCCAGCCAGATTCTCTTGCACCAATGTAATCCTTCTCAAGATCATCACCAATATGCAAAGATTCACTTGCCTTAGTTATCTCTTTACATTGTAGAAGAGCTTCTTGAAATATTCTACTATCAGGTTTACTAAATCCACAATCATAAGAGGTTAAAATGAAATCAAAATATTTACTTAAGCCTAAATTTTGAAGAATATCGTAAAGACGAGGGTCTGAATTCGAAATCACTCCTATAGCTATCCCCTTCTTTTTTATTATTTGCAGCAATGTATCGCTTCCAGCTGCTACATCCCAACATTTGGAGGTTTTGAAATCATTGATTAAAGTGTTCCCTAAGCTTCTTGTGTCAGCACCCACTGGAAGATGATCTTGTAGAGTTAGCTTGACCACTTGTCGCCACCATTCTTCCCAGAGGATAGAATTCCTTCCAAAATTAGGATGCTGTTCCCACATCATTTTAAAGTTTTCCCTCATCTTATTTTGAGCATCACTTTCGCTTCCCCTGTAACCATATGTACGTGCAATCTTTGTGTAATATTGCGAGGGTACCATTTTGAATTTTAATAGGGTGTTCGTCGCATCGAAAGTGACTAACCTTATACCCTGCAGACACATCTCAAGGGGATTTGACGTCTTTCTTTGGATTCTAACATAAAATGAAAATTAATTAGCAGAACAGGCAACAAAACTAGGGAAAATTAACGATTTATTTTAAATAACTACTACATATTGTGTAGGTACTACTATGTTGATTTAATTTTAAATGATAACTTTTTTCTTTTTTTATTAAAGATGATATAGCCTGGTAAAAAGACGTTTTAGCCATTTATTATTATTTCTTTTTTGGACTTGATTTAGGGAGGGCGATCTGAGTTCGTTCAATGGAAAAATAATTTCTTGAAGAAAGATCGATTTTTGTTGACACTAATCATGCATCGAAATTCGCACGACACTAAAAAATCGTAAAAAAAAATTCTGTTTCGAATAGAACAGAGTGAAAGTTAAGTTGGGTTGAACTGAATAATTGTAAAATAAATAAATTAAGATCAATTTATGATTCCAAACATACAATTATGAAAAAAAGTTATATTATTCACCTAGCTGACAAACAAACTAGATGTTGGTTACACCGGTTACACGACTACAGATTTCTTCATCAAAAGACAAAACCAAAAAATCATGTATATAATTTAAATATGTTACAGTTAAAATTGCGATATTTGTACGAGATTGAAAACAAATCGTTTTTTATGAAATAAAAAACAAATTTCTTTTTACCAGTCTAATACAGGTATTTTTTTACATGACTTACTTTAAATGTTTTCTTCTTACATTAAACAAGTGGTTTCATAACCAAGGAGATAATACTAATTGTTAAACATCCATATCATTATACATAACATTCCTAACAAAATTATTAATTAATTAGTTCTTTGGAAACGTTCTTTGGAACGTAACAGCTACATAAGAGTCCGAGTTAATTCATTTAGTTAATTTATTTAATAAAAAAATTAGTAAAATACTTTATTATTACTTGTAACACGATGTTGAAGCTGTGTTACTTTTATCATCTTGTTAAATGCCAGAACTGTGAATTTTTAAATGACGAAATTTATAGGTCATTCGATTCTACTGAAAAAAATCATTATGCGGCATAATGCTCAACTAAGCTTCAGCATAATTCGGCATTGTACGTCACTGAGGCGCATTATGCTCTGTAGTTGGAAAACTACCTGTATGTACTTAATGGTAGTTTTCCAATTACAGAGCATAATGCGACTCAGTGACGCACAATGCGCTCTTGTGCTGTAATTGGAAAACTACCATAGTTTCGGAGGAGTGCGCGAACAAACAGACAGATTAAAAATTCCCTTAGACACCACTCACCGAGTTTCTCATCGGGTTTTTTAGGGGGTTGCGATTTCGATCCGGTGGTAGTTTTAGTGAATCACTGCACTTGCTAGGGCCAGTGTTAGAAATTCTCTCAAGTTGAACCCTTAACGGTCCGGGTGTAGTTGAAATAGCTCGTTAAGATACTAACGAACCGGTAGCAATTTTTTAATCTAAAAATAGCTCATTCACTTTATATTACTTTTCTTGTGTTATCCTGTGTTCATTTTTATTAATTTTCTTCAAAGAGCCACATTGAATCTACTGTTTTGTTATGTATTGATAGATTGACATGTTTATAGGAGGAAGTTTTTAAAGATATTTCATTCCTTCGAATCGAATATTTACTCACTGTAGTCTCTTTTCTCTCTTAGCACTATTCCATTAATTTCGTTTTATTTCGCTTTTCGCACATCAAACAAGTTTTAGCCTTTAATACTGAAAAGATACTGTGTAGACTATGTTTCCTTTGCCTGTTTAATGGACGAAACAAACAAAAACAAATCGACATTATTGTTCATTCAACACATATGACGTGTTTTTAGTGTTTTTTTATTTTATCAATTTCTGTATTTTAATTGATTTTAATCAACTGAATTGAAATTTTAATCAATAAATACATTTCGATTCAAGGAGAGGCAGAAATCTTCAATATGGTTTACGTTACAGGAGGTAAGGTACCTATGATTTAAAATAAATAAATAATTAGGCCACGTCAATGTATCAGAACCAATGCCTTATCATCAGGATGTCCTATCTGTTACCCTTTTGCAAATGCGCGACTTAATTAGTTATTTATAAAAAAAATCTGTTAAGTGAAAAAAAATTAAGTACCGTAGCCTGTAGCAGACAATCCAGTGGCTTATGACAGAAATTACATCTGGACTCATGATTAGTTCTCACAAATTAAAAAAGAAAAATACGTTTTTATTTTGTACTCGTGTTATTTTACCATTTTGCTTTTTTGTCTACATAACTTATAGTTTTCCAACTCCCAGTCCATCCTCTTTTATAACATTTATAATGTTGCTCATGAGAATCTTGATATACAAAGTTTTGCTTGTGCCATAGCCGTCATAGTAAAAACCAAAGAAGAAAAGTAATATATTTATTAAATTGCGCCACAAGCAAGCTTAAGGAGTTGGAGCCAATTAAAAAAAAGTCATAATTTACAATACATTTGAAACTACACAGCTGGTATTATCTTACTTGTGGCAGCTATAGACTTTGACCTCCCGTCTATGGTTTCAGAGGTTTAAACTTTATTTAATGTGTCTATAGTGCCTCAGAGATTGGTTACCATAAAGTGGGATGGGATCACAATTGTGCATATTAATTATTGACTAATAAATGATTTGATGAATAATCACAAAATTTAAAAATTGTTAAAGATGGGACTATTGTGGAGAAGAGTCCTTTCAGTTTCATGGGCTGGTTCTGGGCCTTGCTGAACTTCTTCTCATTGTTGTAAGTATTCTGCAGTAATTATATGTAATTGACATGGTGCTCATTTTAAACAGCTTTCAAAGATAAATCGGCACCACTCTCACCTCATGCTGGCTGCTTCACCTTGTACATGTAAATCAACAATACCAGGAGCATAGAAAAGCTGCAGACTAAACCGACTAAACTTTGCTTTAGGACACTTACAGCGTTTGACCTGGGGTCAGCCATTGTGTTTTTCGTAAAGAACCCACTTTTCATCACATGTCACATTTCGATCCAATATTCCTTCATTTCTGTATCGATTCTACAAGGCAACACAAGTTTCAAGATTCATTTGAAAAAAGTTTCACTAAAAAATCTCAAGCCATGATGGTTCTATGTCAATTCGAAGTATAATAACCGGCAAACTTCTTGAGCATTTGTTGACGTAGTGGGGGTAAGTTAGCGCATGGTACACTCACGTGCAAAAACATTACTTACTCTGCGTCATAATGCTATTAAATTATTAAAATCAACATATGTATTTATTTATATATTTATTAGAACATCAACAAAACATATAGGTTAATAATTGTAATAATTTAATCTTGGGGTAAAATAGATATTCCTTCTATTAAGTCAAAACTAGAGCTGTTGCCAGGTCTTGGTTCAGTTAAAGCGAAGCTGGTATTTGTAATTTTTTTTTCGTTATCATAATCTTGACCATCATCATCATCACTGTTTTCATCACCCGAGTCGCTATCATCGTGATGAGTCGACATAGGGCTCATCGGCGTAGTTTACAACTCGGTCGATTCGGTCTTCTTTTTTGTCTATAATTAATTATTTTTTGAAGATATTCGATTCGTAGTAATCGAATGTTACTTTTTTCATTTACCAGCTTCCGATTATTTTCTGTTCTTTTTTTCCATCTGAAGCCTAGCTCTTTCATAATTCGTCGTAAGCTTCATTCCGAGCCATTAAAATTTATATCTTCTTTAAATTTTTCGAAGCCTTTCTACGGTACGGAGTTTCGCTGCTTGTTATGTAGTTATTATGATTACATCTTTTTATTACAGATTGAACGAAACTATCCATTCCGGTAACTTTCTTCTTCCCTGATCTTTTCTTACCCGGAGTCCGAAACACGGCGAGCAAGCCAGAGCCTTTAGCTTCGTTAATAATGCACCTAACAGTACTCACTGATGTTTTTGTTGCTTCCGAAGTCTGTTTTAATTTTTCCATATCATTCTTCCCCTGTTTTATAATGAAGCAATATACGTCGTACACAAATTTTCTACCCTTTCTTTTAAGTACTACACCAGTTTGTCACGGCATAGTGTATGTTTTATAAAAAATCAACAAACACTCAACAAATAGCAATGGCAACAAAGTCCACAAGCAATTATAACAAATAACTTAACGATTAATAACGATAGACTTTCCACTGTACGCAAGCGTACTTTTGGGAGCAAGCGGAATGAGGGCGCGGTGCGGGACGCAAGGTTCGACTGATCTACCAATAACGCGCTCGATACGATTTTCCCTGCCGTCGCGCCTCACCCTCACCACCAAAGTGACCTAAAATTCGGTTCTGCGCAGTCAAGGTCATTTGCTCACGAAGTTTGCCGATTACTATACCTATTACAATAGAATGGCAATCTTATACTTTAACCCCTATTATATTCCTACTCATTAAATAAATGTAGAAAAATCCTGACTTTTATTGCAGGTTCCACACCCTGATAGATTCTAACTATAATAAACATGGCAAAAAATACACAAGGGATTTCAGACCACCAGGAAGTGGGTGAGTAACTCATATTTTTCTACTTATTTTATTTTGAAATTGAACTTTCCTGCTATCTCATATATAATGTATCTGGTAAATGTAATTAATTTCAAATCAAAATCAATTTGAAATTGAATCATTTATTATGCAGTTCCCTGAGCAACAGGTGGAAATTCTCATGGAATCAAATTATTTTGCCAAATTTATTTTTAGCACCATAGCACGACAACTCCTAATATGTGTTCCCATCGATGTTTAAAAAAATGGTCCATGGAACACGCCAGTTGGGCTTTTCTACTTAACTGACTTTTCTGGCTAAGCTAAGGAAACATCTAATTTTGTAGTAGTCATTAGAAAGGTCAGGGAATGATGAAAAGTGCCCACAGTAAGTTGTTACTACCAGCCATAGCAATCAGCCATGACTAAGATTAAAACATTATTTACAACTTACAATAACTATGCAAATAATAAACAACATTGCTTTGTTTTAGGCCTCCTAAACCACCAACCAAAAAGTTTGGGGGCTTTGGTCCATCTGGCTCTGGGCCCTCACCACCACCTATGGGAGGCTGCGGCTGTGGTGGATAATGGATGTCTTCAAAGCTGTCATAACATTTCAATATTAACAATACCTTAAAAAAACTAATATTGTTTTATGTATCTCAATGTATGAAAAAAACAACATTTTTTACCTATCTTTATTTAAACCTTTGAATTATATAAAATTTTAAACAGCAAAATAAAGAAAAAAATATATTATTATAATATGACGTATTGGAGGCTGATTACGTCAATTTAACGAAATAAATACTTAAGGAGTTCGCCTTTTAATAATTAACTTAATGATTAACTATTATCGTTTCGTTGTTCTATAAAAACATTCTGGGCAGATAAACAAAAATTGACATCCACCTAATTATTATTTTTGAAAATTACTCTGAAAACAAAATGTGTAAACATATCTATTATATACACTAAGTTAATATTCGGAATACGACAAATTGCGGCCATGTCATAGATTTAAACATTTACATTTAAAGTTGTCATTAAAAAGGAATGAAGGTATATGTAAGAAAAAAAATCTGTCGACGTGTACCTATTAAAACAAATATTAATGGCGTTGAATTAACTATTTAAATATATAAGTTATATCCTAAAATTATTCATTTGGAACAGATAATTCATTATTTGTAAGTTTTTAATCTCAATAATGTAATGAATAAATGTAAAATTCAAATTTACTTGTATAAAATAAATATATAATTAATCTTAAGCTTCTCATTTTTGTCTTTTGATTCAAAACAAACTACGTTCCATGAAATAACATTCATATTTCCATACTAAATATTAGATATGTTAATATTTTAAATGTGAAAGTACGTCTGTGCTTCATTCACGCCGAAACGGAGCTTAAGTTTCACATGATTTTTTAAACTTAGATTATTAGGTCGGGAGATTGACATGGACTAACTCTTATCCCGAAAAAAAAAAAAATTTTTCTTACGGGAAACTGCACCAACACTGATTACTTAAAGTTTCATTATTTTCTCAGTATTTTTTTCATGAAACAAACTACGTAGATCTTGCTCAATACTTGCAGCTGAGCCCGCGTGGCTTTTGTTCTTTTCATTCGAATCCTGTTTATGGAAAATACTACGTTGAATATAAAGACCATTCCATTCAGAAGTATTCATAAGAAGTATTATAGCTTTCCGAGCATTGAACTGTCGGCAGTTTTTACTATAAAATCACAACGTCTACCTATATGCGTTTGTTCACTCATACGAACAGGCGGGCTGTGACCTCATTCACTCATGAACATTCACAAATAAAGAAATTTGTATCTGGTATCGTGTTACCTTGTGGTAAAAAAAAAGACTTCGTTGCCATTTATTCATTTAATTATCACACCAAATTATTGCTTAAAACTAAATTAAACTAAACAGCGTGTGTAATTTTATTGGATATTTTATTACAATTTAATGTATTTTATCCCCGAGCTATTGCGTTTGGCAAAAATTACATTAGTTTCATTTCACATAAGGAACAACACCGCTTGCGTGAAATTGCATTTATTAACTTATTGAGTAGGTATATAATATATGTAGTTAATGTCATAAGTTTACAAGCATCAACAAAAATAATACAAAATCCTTGTAAGAAAACATAGATATGTATTATAAATTTTGACGCTTACTTTGTGTTACTACTTTTATATATGCAATGCTCTGCAATACATGGGAAGTCTTTTTCAAAAAACTAACCTTTCACCTATAAGAATTACTATAGCAGAGTAAACCTTAACCGTTTATGTGAAGTTAAAGTTTATCTATCTGATTTTTAGCTATAATCTTACTAGATAGAAAATAAACTAAATATGTATTTAAAAAAAAACCCCGATTAAAATATATTTAAATCTTTAATTATTTATTAGACTCGAGCTCGGAGAATCTGATGGGCAGCACTGCAACGGGCTCCGAAATGCTGGGTTTGTCGATATAAATACTCCAAGTTCTTTTTTCTACGTCGAATATACCTGTAATATTTATTTATCGATTGTAATTGCAAATCGAATGAAGGTAATTATCTCAGTTCCCAGTTGGTCTACTTGCTTTTATCGCAAATTATTTCAGGTTTTTAATACGCTTTTATTAGCTTCAGACGTATGTATGTTAGTATGTAACGGAATCTTTGAACATGATTTTAACCCCCATGAAAACGTCGGATTAACTCGAAATTTGGCATACTTATTAAGAACCGATGGCAATTCAACAAAAAAACCTGAAAAAATTGAAATTCAACTAAAAATAGAAAATAAATTTGAATTAAAAATAGTGTAAGAAAAAATTATTTTATTGTAAAAAAAAAGCAGGGGGTGCATGGTATCAGTAGTTATAAATATTTTATGAACAGATATGAGTAGAAGGGTTATTTTGATAATATCCTGAAAAGTACCCCACGCTTTTTTCAATAAAATATTTTATTCTTGCACTATTTTTAATTCAAATTTATTAAAATTTATTTTCTATTTTTTAGTTGAATTTTCTATAAAAGCGTATTTTTTTTATTTTTTTAAACTATTATTTTTTATTAGTAAAAGAACGAAATCTCACCAGCAGCGATGGTCTTGATAATAGCGTCCTTCTGCATCGAGAACACTTGGAAGTCTTTGCCGGTGACATCAGAGAGTATCTCAGCTATATCACCTCTGGTCTTGGGGGCAGCATGAGCGTGTATCGCCTTCAGTCGGGACTTGCTACTGCCAACTATTTCGCCAATCACTTCAATCACGTTAATGCGGTTGTAACTGAAAAAGAAACATGTTTAATATAAGAAAATGTAGCAGATTACTTAATGCCGTAATTGGGTCTAAACCCTGAGATGGGTGGACGAGCTGACAGCCTACCTGGTGTTAAGTGGATACTGGAGCCCATAGACATCTACAACGTTAATGCGCCACCCACCTTAGTTCTAAGGTCTCAGTATAGTTACAACGGCTGCTCCACCCTTCAAAACGAAATGCATCACTGCAGAAATAGGAGGGGTTGTGGTACCTAGGTACCCGTGCTGACTCACAAGAGGTCCTACCACCAGTTTTAATATAAGCCGAGATTATCCCAAGTGTATGTTTGTTTATTCACTCATAGCTTCATAGGTACCTATTTTTCATATTTCCGCTGATACGATTTGTGTAAGCAGAACGTAACTTTCTGCGCGTCAGGCTTCATAAAATCCTTGCGTTTTCCAGTTTGTTGAATTTGGATAAGTTGGGAATTTAATATCATTTCCCAGGATGAGTGGCGGCGTTCACGCGGTGATGTTTGTGAGCAATGATGGCTACTCAATAAAAGGTGAGCCGTGAGTGTAAAAGATCGGATCTTGTTGAAGAATTTTCGAATTCAAGTTAAATTAAGAAACGGTGAATAATTATAGGACATACTTACATATTACAGTGTACTAGTGTATCCTGGTCGTATTTCTGAACGTGGACGAGCGAGCGGTCTCCCTTGAGGTCGGGGGCGACTTCCACGTTGTAAAGCTTGGTATCCCCCCAGGTGTCTGTCCAAATCATATTTACCGAAAAACCGTTGCCGATTCCTAGGCCTTCGTCACGGAGGATCCGTTCTGCATCCGGGAAACTTTTGGCGGACAGAAGCTTTCTGGTTATAAATGTGCGAGCTGAAAAGAAATACTACAGTTTACGTTCATAGGATGGTGTAATAGTTTCAATATTTAACTAGGTAGTGTTGAGATTAAAAAAGAAACATTAAAATAGGTAGTGTTATAACATACACAGAGGGAAAGAGAGAGACAGAGAAAAAGTGAAGGATGAAAATCAGTGTTCCATGAATTCTGTCGTTTTAGATTGAGGACAGAGCGAGAGCAGAATATTTTAGGATCCATGCAAAAATATATTTAAAAGTCGCCTAATGGTTCATGAGGTCACCGGCTGAATTTATCTATACATGTCAATTTCGTCATTTCTTATATTATTATTAGGTTCCGACACTGACCCGATATATTGATAGCAATGTTTAACGCGAAATATATAGTAAATTATGACACATCTTATGTATAATTGAGCGGCATGAGTTAAATTTTTTGATTCTGTTGCAAAATCAGCTTCAAAGTTAGCTACATATAATTAGTCACCAAAACTTTACAGATGTTGTTCCGTTGTTCATTGGGCCATGGTATCTGGGTTACATATGGCATTATAATATTTAAAACAGATAACGTTTTAACATCGACAACAAGCCAAGGTAATCATGAAGAATATAGCGTTCAAATTTTAGATGAGAATGCACGTACTTATGTTTTTTTGAAACATCCATATTCTTTATTTTATACAGATAATAGAGACAGACATAATTATACCTATTAACATTTCAAAACATGTGTACAAGGTGAGCTTACTCAGTAGTTTGTTTTTTTTCACCAAACCTAAGACAGCGAAAGAGGATTTTAAATAAGGCTACTTACAGCGTGCAGCAACATAAATATAATGAAGTGAACTATATAAGCGGAATACGTATGATAATTTACATAATGTAAAATAAAATAAAATTAAAATTATTATTATTATTAAATTATTTCATTTTTCAATACTCTAACGTTATTTTTAAAATCTGAGCTATTTTCCGCACGGTGGCCGGCAGGAGGTGGATGAGGAGAGCAGCAGACCGGGCTCAGTGGTGTATATTGGGAGAGGCCTATGTCCAGCAGTGGACGACTGTGGGCTGTTGATGATGATGATGATGATGATGATGAGCTATTTTCTACTCAATTCTTTTTTACACTATCTAGCGTGTTATGTAGTGTTATTTTAAGTTTTCACAATATTTAGGCATGTTTAGAATGCTTTCAGTCTAACTCTTTGTTTATTAATTAATTAATATAATTTTCATCGTATCAACAATATAACCATTTTCGTAATAGTATAACTGAGAATAATCAAATTTTACAAAGCATGATAGGCATCAAAAACACAAATTGTATTACGACCTGCTTTGAAGTAATAAATTAGAGCATAATTTAGTAGTGATACTTACGAGTGTTTCCAGGCTTTAGCAGAAGTGGGCTGAGCGTGTTAATGGAAAACACCATTCCGTTTTCATTGTAGCCCATGGTGTACCCGGGCATGTGACCAGCGTAGCATAAAGACGAGAAGCGTTCCTCTACTGCCTGCAAGCAATTATGTAGTAGGTCATACTAAATTAATATATTAACTATTTGTAAATACACTAAATATGTTCAATTGTAAATTCTTCTTCTTCATCGTTCCCTCACTGCTGGGAATAGTGATCACATGTGACTTTCCTCCACAGTGTTCGATCATGAGCGGCATGGACCGCACGGTTTATATTTACCACCAACCGCTTCCTTAACCAGATCTGACCAGGCTGGTGTTCAGTCCACGGCGGGCTTTTTTATTTTTATTTTTTATTGCTTAGATGGGTGGACGAGCTCACAACCCACCTGGTGTTAAGTGGTTACTAGAGCCCATAGACATCTACAACGTACATGAGCTACCCACCTTGAGATATAAGTTCTAAGGTCTCAGTATAGTTACAACGGCTGTCCCACCGTTCAAACCGAAACGCATTGCTTGCTTCACGGTAGAAGTAGTCGGGGTGGTACTTACAAGTGCAGACTCACAAGAGGTCCTACCACCAGTAATTACGCAAAATTTTTATTACACGATGTTATTATTCCTTCACCGTGGACGTTAATCGTGAACATTTGTTTAGTACGTATTTCGTTAGAAAAATTGGTACCCGCCTGCGGGATTCTAACACTGGTGCACCGCTCGATACAAATGCACCGGACGTCTTAATCCTTTAGGCCACGACTTGTCCTCTATGCGACCAGAAATTATGAGTTTCTCTCATTCATGTCCCAGACTGCATGATGAGTCCGAAGAAGCTCATAACACGTTTCCGGGCCGATAGCAGAGAGCCTTTTTCGATGGTATTCCGAGCACCCTTCGCCACACCCACATTTCAAAGGCATCGATTTTTTTGCTATCGCGGCTTTTCATGCCACATGTCTCCGCTTCGTAGAGGAATATGAGAAAAACCATTTCCCGCACCAAGCACACTTTGGTTTTATAGCAAATGTAAATTGGCAGGCAAAAATAGTTTGTTGTCAGTTAGTTGCTTGCGAGATTTGAACATCGATTCATCAGTTGCATCGTTTGATACGAGGACAACGGGCCTCTTATGATCTACGAAAATTAATAAATTGAAAACTTACCCCGTGCTCCCTGTCTTCGGGAGTTGGAATGATGTGCGCCGACATAATGTAGAAGTGATTTAGGGTTTCGGTAAATGCATCCTCTGTGTGTCCAAGTATAGTCTAAAACAAAAGTAGGTAACATGTAAATAATATAGCGTTAATGGTAAATTTCTTAGCTTCGGAGGTGAAAATAATCAAAGTAAGCTTGGTCAAGGGTTCTATTCCATGTTGCAACTAAGGCGATCCAAGCTTTGATGCATTGCTAAGAGCGAAGCGATACTAATCCAACCAGAGACATGTTTCTTTGACAATCAAAATCATAAATTATTTGCTGTATATCGTTCCGTATCCAGGGCTATCGTGCTAAGTACACTAGGTTGCCCTCTAAAATTTGATCTGATCGCTGTTCTCTTCAAATTGTAAGGTTTTCATCCTTTCGAGTTGTTTTATTCACACTCTGCGCCAACCTTCCCGAACGTTCATGCCATATCTACGAACTCTAATAAAGTTTCTATAGCTCTTTGAACCTTCGTCTGCTCCCCATTAGATAGCTTTGGTTGTTATTGTCTATCTATTGTGTTATTTATTGGTGTCGCTATTGGTTACGAGTTAGCTCTCACTGTCACAAGGCACGGTTGTAAATCACTAAATCACATTCCGATAGAGGCACCCGTCACGTGCGGACGTGCTCATCGTCCACTCGATCGCCCGGTCTTTGTTCGCCCGGCTTTTGTTAGCCCGGCCATTGTTCGCGCGGCCTGTGTTTGTGGTACATCTGCCGACTAAGTGCTCTTTCTGGAAGTTTTTATTTNAAAAAAAAAAAAAAAAAAAAAAAAAAAAAAATCACTAAATGGGTTGTAACAATGTCAGAGACAGCGTAATATCATCATGACTGTCAATCACCTTAACAAGTGAAGTTAAAGTATCCTGTATCATGAACATTGAAAAATTGGCTGAAAATTGGAAAAACGGCTTGTCCCGTAGTAGTACTTCAGTGGTCCCGTAAGTCTATTTATTATCCATGGCCTATCTTTCGGACTAGACCGCATACGGTACCGCGCAGGCTACAAGCGTGAATATGATAGGAATAGTTTGTTTTTTTATTTGTTATAAATGGTTCTACATAAAAGGAACTACAAAGATGATTTATGCCACGATAAAATAATAAAATGTGATTGTTTAAATACTTAATTTTATGCGAGTCACGACATGAATAAAATGGAAAAGCAATTTACAATTGGTTCCTTTATTTACCATTGAATAATTTAATTTTGCCTTAAGCTTATTTATGAATTCTAAGAAATGCTAATTATTTTCTAAAATATTGAATGGGAATGAAGTCGAGAAATCGTTTCTAAATAGAGGTAAGCAGTGGTAAATATTGTACCTATAGTATATTATTTCACCAACGTGATACTTTTAGATAGTCTTATTAATTTTGAATTCTTTACAACATGGCTGTCAGTGCATTTTACTGTTACCGTCTCTCTCTCGTCTCTCTTTTGGTAAGCTTAAGTTTCGTTTGGTTTAGTTTAAATTTCCTCTGAAGAAGGAACTTGCAAGCCTACTTTATAAACGGTCGCTAATAAATTTACTAAAATTCCACTTCGTACACCGTAAAGTGTGTAGCTCCCTAATGACAATGGGATCCTGAGTTACTCATCTTCGATCTTCTCATCTCTCTTAATTTTGCTAAAATAGTAATAAGTGTAAAGAACGCCCTCTTCTAAGTTATAAAGCTTATGAAGTTGTCGTCACTTAAATGATAATAAAACGTCCAGTGTACTCGTATATAGCAATGCTATTGCGCTAATATTCAATTGCGTAGGCAGGTACTAAGTGTTCTGGAGGGCAATGATCGACTTCTGCGAGTCCATCATCTCGCCGAAGAAGGCGGCGGGACGAGAAAGGGCGAGCTTATCCCTGTCCGCTACGATCCGTTGTCGCCGAGTTGCGTGCTGTAGAAGGGCTTTCATCCGGTCCCGGCACCTGTAGGAGTAAGGAGGTGACCGGGGCAACATGAGAGGGGAGTCGTGACGCTACTTACGCTCTAGCGCGTTGCATTATAACAATTCTACGCAGCTGCTGTGGAAGAGCTACTGGTTAGGGGTGTATAGCATTCCGACCCGGCAGACAGGTTCCTCGTTCCTCCTTGTCTAATAAAAGTCAACCCCGCCAATATTGCGATTATAGCCGTTTTGAAGGGATGGGATAGATGTTATACCAAATAATTAACACATAGACCTGTTGTTCCGGTGGGTGAGTGTTGGCACCTTATGATCCTTATGAAACCTAGTGGATCTTATGAAATAGAAAAACGCCACGAGCGTAGCTGCGAGTTTCTTTACCTATCACTACCGCGTTTTAAAATGGTCTTACGGTGAACTGGTACGGGTTCTCAAGCAATCGTAGGTCTCCTTCTCAGTCTTCTCCATTATATTCTGTTCCTAATTTTACTTATCTGATTTCTTTACATCGTTACTTATTAGTGTAATTATTAAATCGAGGAGTGAAAGGCTATTTAGTTTAAGCGACATTTCGCTTATTAAGCCACATTTATCTTTGTAATTAAAGGTCCGTTATTTGGTATTAGTATGAATAATTCGATGTTTTTATTCTTTCTTTTAAACTTCAAGTTTTACCCAATTGAATAGCTGAAGCAGTTTTTTGTTATGATATTTTCTGCAAGTTTTTACCTTTAAATGGCTCTCCTTTAAAGTGTAAAAATGTTGCTTAGGTCAAAATTAAATAGCCTTTCACTGCTTCACATAATGAGAAACTATTTTATTATGTTGTTCTGTTATTCGTTTCTTCAAAATAAAACACTAAGTTGGAAAAACAAATTAAATAATCAACTGCAGGTAGAATAGGGTGATTTTCAGAATACATCCACTCCCACTTAGTGGTGTGAGGCTACGGGCCGATTTAAAGATGGCGGCTCGAACTTTATCATCGACCAAATAATTTAATGGTTTTTTTCTTTTTCTCCCCCTTATCCCACTAGGTGGGGTCGGTGCAGCTAATTTTTGTCTTCCATTCTTTTCTATCAGTCGTCATCTCAACACTCAGTCCTCTCTCTCTCTCTCTCTCTCTCTCTCATATCGTCATTTAATGAATTAATACTTAAAATTGGTAAACCACAAGCGTTACTATTAGTGGTAATCATTGATTATAAAAATCAAATATATTCAAAAATAGGTGAACATCATTATTTGCTGTAGTAGATGAGCTCACGGGATATTTCTTGTTGGTATCGAAGTCACGACTGCTTTGCTTAACGACTGGCCTACGTTGTATGCAGATAAGGTACAATGATTCTTACATGCTGTGGGTTCTTGAAGGCGACAGAGCTGCAGCCTCCGGTGTCGTTCCGTGGGACGTGGTTGTCGTTGATGGTTCCAATCAAGTCATCCATTTGCAGGAGGAATAGCTGTTTAAAACATCGAGTTGTGATTAGAACTGTTAATATTAATTTTGGTAGATGATACTTGTCAAATTATACCTTTGGTTTCAGTGAAGTATTCAAGGCGTTCCCGAAGGTCTGCTATGAATAAATATGCTGCTTTGTAATGTTTTGGTGTTAAGCCTTTCTAGGCTTTCTAGGTCTAGACGAATAAAACCAATTAGTTTGTAGGTAGACTACTATATAACTGGTCTTGCATCCGCTTCAAAATTATCAATGATATTTATATTTATAGAATGCAATTTAGGAAATTCATAGTATGTGTTATTTATACGCGCGTTATTAAAAATTTTATGGGTTTTAATCGTTTCCTCTTTGCATTACGAATTCGAAACTTATTTAATTTTTTTGTGGTCAGCAAAAAATTTAAACTAAATTTAGATTTGCAAGAAGATTTAATTTCCGTGCATTTTAGCAACCGCGTGCCTTCTATAATTATTACTGACCAATATAAAATGGATGATCCTCTGCGGCAAGTAATGAACACACATTGGAAGTTCGAAGATTATTTACAACATTTTGACTGTGTATGTGAGCAGAGCATCATATGGCCCATCTAGTGCTAAATACTGTCAGGAACCCAAAGACGTCAAACCAGATTTCACCGCAGGCTCACACCACAAGTAATTAAAATTAAATGATGATAATGAAGCTACGACAAAAACAACAAACAAGTATGGTGATGGAAATACCTGATAGAAAGGAACGTTAGCTCCATCAGCAACACCCCTGATCTCCTTAACGTAGTAAGGGAATCGCTTCTCCATGTTAGCCAGGGTCTTATCATACGCATCCCGGCCGGTATCAGTTTTGTATTCCCGTTCAAAGTCACGTAGATTAGCGTAATTTGATATGAAGCTCTTGATGACGGAGGAGAATGTGCGACCCTGGGAGGATATAATTATGTTAAATCTCTTACTGATTAAACCTCTTACTGGTGTTAGGACATCTTGTGAGTCCGCGCGGGTGTATACCACCGCCCTGCCTATTTCTGCCGTGAAGCAGTAATGCGTTTCGGTTTGAATGGTGGGGCAGCCGTTGTAACTATACTGAGATCTTAGAACTTATATCTCAAGGTGGGTGGCGCATTTACGTTGTAGATATCTATGGGCTCCAGTAACCACTTAACAACAGGTGGGCTGTGAGCTCGTCCACCCATCTTAAGCAATAAAAAAAAACTACTGCGTTTGAACATTTCAGAGAGGTAGTCAGATGATCAAACGGTGTTTTTCAATGCAATTATTCTAATGAAACACGTACCGCACAAATGCTCACGATTGACTACGGCGGTGAAGGAATAACGTCGTGTAATAGAATAAAACGCACCCGCAAAATTATAATTTGCGTAATTACTGATGGTAGGATGTCTTGTGAGTCCGCACGGGTAGGCATCACCACCCTACCTATTTCTGCCGTGAAGCAGTAGTGCGTTTCGGTTTGAAGGGTGGAGCAGCCGTTGTATTGTAAAAACTGAGACCTTAGAACTCGTATCTCTAGGTAGGTGGCGCCATTTACGTTGTACATGTCTATGGGCTCCTGTAACCCACTTAACATCAGCTGGTCAGTGAGCTTGTCCACCCACCTACGCAATTATAAAAACCACCCTCCTTTGGAACGAATGATGCCTGTTTTTGCTTTATTTTCTCTGAAGGTATTTTTCAAACGTGGATTGTAAAGAGTTTTTAGTGAGGGGCATTGGCTTCGTTTTGTTTTGTATTCGATGGCGATGAGTAATCGTAATGATTCATGAAAACGAGCCAAATAGTATATTTCTTCCAGAAAGCTCTCTTGATATATTCTATTAGTTTAGTAGACAGAACTTACCACATCGAAGCCGACTTCATAATGGGAGCCTCTTACGTATATAACAGGGACCGCATGGCGTCTCCCGAGTTGTATCTCACATACTGCCGTACCTAGAAGAGCGTATTTTACTTAAAATATGATACTATATCATTTGAATCTCGTTTGGAAATACAACAATAATATTATCCTTAAAAAGTAACGACATTTATACTTTTTGGTGAAATCTTTTTTTTTTTGCCATTGTAGGCAGACGAGCACACGGCCCACCTGATGCTGAGTGGTCACCGTCGCCCATGGACTTCAGCAATGCCGGGGCAGAGCCGAGCCGCTGCCTACCGAAAGTTATTGAATGTTTTGTTATGTGAAGACACATTATCTTAGATTTTAATAACGATCGAAATTTCCATGCGAAATCCTAACGAAATAACCTAATTAATGCGATTGTTTATGTTTTACAAATTCTCTTTTACTGTAATGGTAGTCTACGTCAGACGAAAGCTGATTAAAAATTAACAGCGAACCAAGAGGTTCTTGCTTTATCATCGATGAGTGTGTTTATAAAGTATTGCGCCGAGTGATACCACTGTCTACTACTTGCGCAATGTTGCAGGGCGTTGTTAAGCGACATTGAAATTCTGATCGTATATTACACGGGTCAACACCAAATTTGACTTTAATTGCAAAGCATAAAGTTTCGATATTTTATATCGTAATTAGACGAAAAAAAATACATGGCATGAAACAGTTTGGTTTTGAACTTTAATAAATTGACCACATATGAAACAAAATGCATCAGCATCGTATTTACACTTTCGTGACATTTTAAGTTTTTCTGGGCTTGTACAAAACACCTGATCGTTGTTTATGACTCGAGTGCCATCTAGTGGCACTGTGTAAACGTAAACACCCCACTTTCATAGCGCGGTTTTTTTGAAAGTATTTAAATTAATTAAAATTTATAGAAAAATTAAAAAATGAGTATTGTTACCATAACTATCACAAAAGCAAACTTTATACGAAAATGTCAAATACACGGTAGTGTGTGTAATGTTTCTTTTTTTGATTTAATATATTACTAGTGCATCATTTATTTAAAAAAATATGAACATTCTGCACTCCTTCTTTATATTCTCTATAAGTGTGGGAAATTCCATACTCCTGCGTCCACGAAACTTTCGTAAAAAGGGGTACAAAGTTTTTGCTTCACGTATTAATATATAAATACTAGTTTAGCGCAGAGACGAAAATATGAACAAAGTTTGCAAAAGCCCTCGACGGAGCTTCGCTTTCAAATAAAAATTGAACGTTTACTGACATCTGTTGGCAAATAGAGGAAATCTGGGAAAATTAAAGAGGCTAACAGTGATTTTAAGAAATCTCGTATTTTTGCCAATTTTCAACAAACACTCCCTAAATTTTGATCTGCCAAGGAAACACCCGCTCGGTGAAAGATTTTCCCGATGCACAATCCACGAACCAGCACACAGCCGCGTTTCCTATAAAAACTGACTGACATCTATCTAATTAATGCGTAGTCACAAATCGTAAAAAAAATTTTTAATATTAACTAATGCGAGGAAGTCGATAGTCGAATGCCTTGACAAACAAAAAAAAAAATAGTTTCGGTCCTTGTCCAAATTTACAAGGTTGAAACGACCTACCGCAATACTTGGTATGTTCTGTGGTAAGGCCGTAGGCTTGGCTGGCGATCGTTTGAATATATTTGATGCAACAGTCGTTTTTTTTTGCATAACTTAAAGAAATACAACATGTCAAGCGGCTAGTGAAGAGCTTCTGGGGCTCCCCAAAGTAACTTCACTTTACATTACATACATGATTTATATTGAATTATTTAATTAATATAAATAGGATGGAATAAGAAGTTGTAATATTAGATTCTATGGAAAGGAACCATTATTATTATTTACAGAACCTCCTTTAAAATCGTACCAATCACACATTGTTCATTTCAGTTAAAACAATGAATATAAATGTATTGTAAAAGCATAAATATCAATTCTTTGATACAAAATATATATTTTTATCATTTTCTGTTTTGAGATTGCTTGTTTTTGGGACAATTAACGCATGAAATACTGTGGCTCAGTGCGAGTTTTTTAACGTTCTCGACACCGTTAAAGTAAAAATAAAAGTCGTCGTGGCCTAAAGGATAAGACGTCCGGTGCATTCGTGTTGAGCGATGCACCGGTGTTCGATTCTCGCAGGCGGGTACCAATTTTTCTAATGAAATATGTACTCAACAAATGTTCACGATTGACTTCCATGGTGAAGGAATAACATCGTGTAATAAAAATCAAACCCGCAAAATTATAATTTGCGTAATTACTGGTGGTCGGACCTCTTGTGAGTCCGCGCGGGTAGGTACCACCGCCCTGCTTATTTCTGCCGTGAAGCAGTAATGCGTTTCGGTTTGAAGGGTGGGGCAGCCGTTGTAACTATACTTGAGACCTTAGAACTGATATCTTAAGGTGGGTGGCGCATTTACGTTGTGGATGTCTATGGGCTCCAGTACCCACTTAACACCAGGTGGACTGTGAGCTCGTCCAACCATCTAAGCAATAAATAAATAAAAACTTATATTTGTATGGAGTTAGAACGTTTGCCTACGTTTCCCGTTAGGGGCGCTGTTCCAACTGCATACAAATTTCAGTTAACTTTTACGCTATCGAGAACTTTGAAAAACTCGCACTAAGTACACTGTACTCATATTATATACTTATGTAAAATGAGCCCTATAATGTTTTTAGTGACGACGTAGCTAATCCGTTTTGTTTTGCATTTAAAAAAACAGTTTGGTTCTTTAGTGAGATTTTATTGGATCGGATAATGTGCCGTGCCACGCCGCGCAGCAGCGTGGCAATTATTTGTGGTTTTAAAGTAAAATACTTTGGACATAGCAAAATATAATAATAAAATATGATTTAATAATGAAATAGCTTCATGTCAACCATACTGACCCATCATAATTACTATCTCAGACCGTAAAAAATATTCAATACCATTATGTTTATTTGATTAATATAATCATTTTTGTTATTTCAAACAATTTTTGATGATTGTAGGAGAAGGCTGTCTTCCGCAGACATAGAATTTTCATGAATCAAACTGATTTCATGTCGATTAAATCGCATGTCGTTAGTGGCGCACATGTGTATTATGCACGTTCATTAATTCTTTTTTTTTTATTGCTTAGATGTGTGGACGAGCTCACAGCCCACCTGGTATTAAGTGGTTACTGGAGCCCATAGACATCTACAACGTAAATGCGCCACCCACCTTGAGACATAAGTTCATAAGGTCTCACGAATAGTTACAACGACTGCCCCACTCTTCAAACCGAAACGCATTACTGCTTCACGGCAGAAATAAGCAGGGTGGTGGTACCTACCCGCGCGGACTCTCAAGAGGTCCTACCACCAGTAATTCAATATCGATTTATTAGTTGCTTGGGTTTGGCAAATTACTTGTACAGTATTAAAATTTGAAGTCGCACATTTACTTGGTTGTATGTCAAAAGCATTTATGTTGATTTATGCTAGTTATCTATACTAATATTATAAAGCTGAAGACTGTTTGTTTGAACGCGCTAATCTCAGGAACTACTGGTCCGATTTGAAGAATTATTTCAATCTTAGATAGCCCATTTATCGAGGAAGGCTATAGGCTATATAACATCACGCTAAGACCAATGCAAGCAGAGCACCACTGCGTGCGCTGCCGAAACGGTTAAAGTTTCGCTAAAATAGTGTATGAGAGAATTGTTCCCCTTTAAAAGATCTAAAAAAAAGTCCGCGACAGAATATGTCCGTATGTTAAGGTTGGCTCTCTATAACGTTTTTTTATGCAAACCAAATTTGTTCTAGAATAAAGCATTCTATTGTGAAGGTGTTTTTATAAAGATATTCTACGTAAATGAAGAGGTGGGTAAAATTTTGCGTTATTTCAAACTAAGTATTCCATGCAGGCGAAGTCGCGGGCAAAAGCTGTATTTTATATAATTCTTTTCTTACATTTTTAAGAGATATTATTGAATGCTACAAAACGATTTACCGATCTTACAATATGTAAGATGGCAACCCCCTTGAACCAAACTTCCGTGCTGGATGAGTCGATACGGGAACAGCAGATGTAAATAGCCAGATACGATCCAGATAGAATCCAAATAGATACAATCAAGATCAAAATCACGAGAAACGTTTGAGCTTAAATCTTGTATTTATTTTTTAAAAAATGAACACTAAGTCATTTAGATTTGATTGCATATCACAGAATTTGGTAATTTTAGAAAACATCAAAACATTCCAGTTTCCTTTTTAGAGTTTTTATACATCATAAAAAAATAATTCAAGGCATTTGCAATCATTAATAAGTGGTTAATATTTTTTTTTTGTAATCATTGCACAAGAGGTCAATGAAAAATAAAAAACTATTTCTTATTTTTTGTTTTGCATATTAATCTATCAATTAACATTATCCAATGTAGACCTAATTTGTTTGATTTATTTGAATATTTATTTATTTATTTTGTACAATCAAGGATTCAACTGTACTATTTGAGAAAAAATCACGTTTGAATTGTACAATTTATTTAACACGCAGTATTTATAACGCAGAATTTCTTATGAAATACCGATATATTTAATTTCTTACATAAAATATTTAGATTTTTTAAATTAACTATTTGACGCATGAAAGTAAGGAATAATTGTTAAGACGAAAGTTAATTTAAACAGAATTGTCAACCGCATGAGGCTTTTCGCACAGATTTGAGGTTTGCTCTTTGCTGTACGAGGTATGAGGATCAATCAGGTTCGCACAATTATGTATGAGATTTAGACAGGAAATTTTATAAAATAGTGAAACCCGGCTTCTGTCTGTTATGATGATAATTGTCAACTAGACGATAGCCATCGACTTAAAGGAACAATTTTGCCTGACTCAGTGGTCCAGTAATTAGCGGCCCTGACTGCTGCGCCTAAGGTCATGAGTTCGATTCCCACATCGGGCAAACATTGTGTGATAAACAAGCTTGTTTGCTGTTTGTCTAGGTGTTCACTATATTCATATATGTATATATTTAAACGTATAT